AAGAAAGTTAATTTTTTTTTCTCTCATATCTATCTGTATCCATATGTATGTTAAGAGTTTGACTAACATTAAAATTTTTTTTCTCTCTTATCTATCTATATTCATATATATATATATATATATATATTAAAAAAATAGTAACATTTAAATACAAAAAAAAAAAATTTACTATTTAAAATTCAAATTCATGTTACTATTTTTTTTTATTATGTTATCGTTCATGTTACTGTTTTTGTTGAACATGTTACTATTATTATTTTCCTAAATATTAATATTCAATGTTACTAATTTTTTCTTTTGAATATGATTGGTACTATTTTTTGAGTTTGAATTTAAAAGAAATAATTATTTGTTAAGTATGTTACAATTTTTGTTAAACATGTTACTATTTTTGTTACACATGTTAATATTTTTGTCGAACATGTTACTGTTGTTATTTTTTTAAAATATTAATGTTGAATGTTTCAATTTTTTTATGTTTAAATGTTACTATTTTTTTGTGTTTAATTGCATTATTTTTTGTGTTCAAATGATAACTTTTTTTTGTATTTGAATGTTACTATTTTTTATTTTTAATGTTATATATATATATATATATATATATATATATATATATATATATATATATATATATAAGAGGAAAAATTTTAATGTTAGCCAAACTCTTAACATATATATAGATATAGATAGATTTGAGAGAGAAAATATTTTAATGTTAATCAAAATTCTAAGATTTAGGAGTTTTTAATTTTTAATTTTATTTCATTTCTATAGGTAAAGAATAGTATTGTAAAATTGATAAAAAATAGACTTCATAACAAATAAATTTTTTTGACAGAATTAAGTCTAAATAAGTCCATATAGGGGGGACCGACTTCCAAATTTTTCTAAAAATATTCACAAATATAATAAATAAAGGTACGTTACCAATTTTTTTTTTTTTTGGGTAACGTAGACTAGTCCTAAAAACAGTGAGAGAGGGTGGACTTATCATTGCGAGTCGGCAGCTGTTTCTTCAAACCCAAAAGTGTTCGGCCCCTTTGAGCAGCCACTGGATTACTTTAGGCCCATTAGATGCCTCATTTTTGACATCTACTTCCGAGGATTGGATTTGTTGGGATCATGTTATTTCGGACAAAGATGTGTGCAGTACGGGCCGGATGTGTAAAGGGTCCATGGCTTAGCTTGTGGCCCATGACCATTATTGGAAGGCGGGTTATTAGGTGGGCCGGGCCAAGTTGGGCAAGCTTGAGGACTGATTTTAACTAAATGTCGTAATTTATAATTTCAAAGTTTATAACTTAACACTTGTCACTTATATAACTTATTCATCCACAAAAGATTAGCGGACTCAGATTGAGGCTCTTAGTGGCAAGCCAATTTTCCTGATTAGCATTTGACCCTTAACTTTCGAGAATGATCCTTTCACTTCACTAGAGGACGAGTTCATTGTCTTTAACCTTAGAACAAGTGATTACCTTCATGTGATGGAGTGCCCTTTCAAAATAGGAGCTAAACATTCTTTTTGCTCACACAAGCATCATTTTTTTCTTCCACAAGCTCTCCCAGTTGTCTTAACTTATTCTTCTTGGAACTCACGCATACAACCTTTGATCCCTTCACATCACCGGAGGAGAGTCATCCTACCGAGTTCTTTGTCTATAACATTAGAACAAATGATTACCTTCCTGTGATGGAGTACCCTTTCAAAATAAGAGCTAAACATCCTTGGCCTGTTTGTTTAGAAGGTTTGGGCAGATATATAAGGGGTTTGAGAAACAATAGTCCAATCCTTTTTGTATACACTTGTCTGGATGCAAAAATTGAAGGCTGGACTGCGTTCTCAGCTTGAATCTGACCGGCCGGCACCTTAAACCCTTGAACGTTAGCTTCAGTATACCCAGGGGGGTTTTGAAGGGGCCAAACTGGTTTGACCCATTTACCCCATTTAATGGCTGCTTTCTTCCTCTCTTTTTTTTTGTTGCACCGTCTGTGAGATGGGTTGGGGCTAGTGGTTCACCAAAGCTGAAGCCAACCGCCACTGTATTCTTTCTCTCTCTCTCTCAGGTTGCTCAAAGAAATCTAAGAACATGTGAATGTTATCTAAGTGGCAAGTCAAGTAAACTAAAAATTAGAGACATCTAAGTTTAGTAATATGAAAATGTCAATTTCTCTTGATTCATTTCCATTGAAAAATGGATGAATTATGTTTACCGTTGAGGTTTTTGACAATTGTAGTGAACATCTCATGAAAATTCTGAACGTATAGTGACATAACAGACCCTTTTAAAACTCACCATATATCCTATGTAAACTCTTTGTTCTGTTTGTTTATAATTGCCATCTTTGGTGGACATCCTCCAGCAGCAAGTACACTGGAGTGTTGGAATCGAATTGTTGTTTAATGGCTGTAGGTAAGGGGTTGTGCCGATGGTTTTGTGTTATCATGGTGGCATTGCTAATATGGTGCAACTGTCAAGCCCATCTCCCCAAAATACTCCCCTTTTCTCTCCACTTTTTATTCTCTTTCTGTCAACCTCTCCCTCACCCTTTCTCTTGCCTGCACTCTTCTCTATCTCTTTCACTACTCGCCACTCATGTATCATTAGGTCCAAGCTTCTTTGTAGCAGTAGCCATTCAAACTGGAATTTAGAGAATATATTAATCCTAGTTGACCAATAGAACCACACCCACATGCACATTCTGGTAGCTTGTGTTTACTACGGATTCTATGTTCTATTTTTGAGTTTTACCACAGATTTTTTGGACCATTTTTTGGGGTTCTTCTTGATGGACTGTGTTTCATGCTTCAAGGATTTGATGCTGGACAGTGATTTTGGATGTGGGTTTTCGCTATTTAGGTGTTTTGGATAAGTGTTCAATGTTGTGGGTTTGTTGCTATTGTTCAACCTGGGGTTGCAGGTCTTGCAATTTAGTTGCTATTGCAATGTCTGATTTCATTTTCAAGTGTTGTGTCTCTCGTTGTATGTTTGGATTGAAATTGCTTTGCCTGGTAAGCACATACCCCTTTTTTGTTTTTGTCTCTCTTTTTTTTTATTCCTTTTCCTTATGCCAAACTAGTTCATTTTCTTTTTTATGTACATTGCTTACAATTGTTTCAATTTGTGAGAGTATGAATCTAGTGGAGTATTCTTTGTTGGATTGATATCATAATTAGAGTCTTCAACTTTAAACGATCCATTTTTTTTTAACTTAGATGTGTTGAAATTTGGATATATTTGGTACATGTTTGATAATTTTTAGATTTTTGTTTTATCTAAGAATGTTTTGATTTTTGAACTATGATAAGGTTTCACAAAAAAAAAGAAGTTTTATTTTGATTATTCCAATTACATAAATTTTTATCAATATTGATGTTTGATATCATAAGTTGGGAAGACAAAAAAAAAAAATCCAAAAATGTGAAGTTAGTAAGTTAACCAAAAAAAAAAAAAAAGACTTAAACAAACATGAGTTTGGATTGAATTGATTGATGGGTAAAATAGTTATGTACATAACTAAGGTATGATGATAATGGTGATAAATTCGTGAGTTTTGCACGTGTATATATTTTTTACCAAATACGGATATGAACTAAATTCATCTTTAATTGCATGTACTCAAAAGTGAAGATTTGAATTTGAAAGGATTTGAACTAGATTGGTAAAACCAACCCAATCTCTCACCCAAAAGTCCATCCAAACAAGCCCTCCTCTTAACTTACTCTCCGTGGAAGTCACACATACAACCTTTTAACTCCTATGAATTACGTGTGAACCAAATGATAGTAAGCCTTTCCATAGAAAGAACGGACCGACAACTAAGAGAGGAAACACCCTCGTCTAGATAACAAAATTCACAAGAAAATGACATCACAATTCACATGATAGTTATGAAATTGAAAAACAGGTATATGACCGACCCCACGGGTCAGGCGGCCGGGTTGGTGTGTTTGTTTACGGGTCCAATGTCTCTGTCCAACACCACAAAAGGACATAAAACCTTGATGAAGGACAGATTAAAATCCAAAACAAAGAAACAAAACTGAATGCTAGGAAGGAATCAACGCACTTGGGAAATACAACCAAAAGTACCTAAACACACAAACAAATTGAATAGCTGCTCAGATTCCCTTTACCGATGTCACCTCACAGTCGGTAAAAGGATAAGCATGCATAGTATCGTATTACAAATTATTACAAAAAAAAAAAAAAAAATTGATGTTAGAATTAAAAATTGGTTTATTTGGCATTTATTTAATAATTTATGATCAATTATAATATTTTAAAATTTATTTAAATTTTATTAACTCTTAACTTGATATGAATTAATTATAATTATTGAAAATACTAATTTTACACAGGCTAAATAAAAGGCCTAAAAATACAGACGTTAATATGTTGGTATTTTTAATCCATTTTTTACACATTAAAAATTTAAATTTGCTCGACTTGTTAGTATCACATCATTTGTTTCATATTTTTTGCTCCTTTAATTGGTCATTCTAGCATCATATTTACTAAATTGGAGTAAATTTAGAGTTTAGAATCCAAATTAAACTTTATTTTGGGGGTATCACATTTAATTCTCTTCAATTCTATTTGAATTCATGTATCAAATATAAATGCTCTAGTTCGACCTATTAATATTTTTTTGTTTTGCATTTATTATATTCTAGTCAATCAAATCGGTTGAATTATTATTCATATTAAAATGAATCGAGATTTCTAAGGAATTGGTCAATGATACTTGAAAATATACTTGTTTTGAGTGCCTATTTAATTTCTGTCGATCTCTATGGATTGATCACACGTTGAAATATGGTTAGGGCTCTTATGTGTCTTGAATTTATATTGAATGTAGTTAATATGAATTTTGTGATATTTTCTTATTTTTTTGAAACTAGGATGACAGAATGTTAGTCGGACTGCAGCCATAAGTTATGAAAGTGCTCATGCACCATGCATGATGTAAGCGGAAGGGAAGGCGCAACGGTTAGCCACTTTCCGAGGAGTGATACCTCTTTAATTTTCCTTCAATACAGTTGTAAAATACATAGTCAATATAAACACGAACATGATATCGATTAGAAAATACATATTAATTTTATCCATTAACATGAACATGAAATCAAGCCGAAAATAGAATTACTTAATAATATGAATAATAAATAGGTCGAATTCAACATAAACAGAGAAAAATCTTGTGCAGAAAACAAGGGGGGGGGGGTCTTGGGGTGATTTCACTACAAGTTTACAAATGTACGAAACAGCTGTATATATAAGCTTGGTCAACATAGGTTAGCTTCTTCCTCAATTATTCTTAGTATGTGGTGAACTGCACCTGCTATGCCGTCCGCTGAATTGAGTAGGCACCCTTCTTCCACCTGCAAAAGATTTTTTAAATTTTAGCCCAAAGGACCGTTTCGAATTTTTTTTTAATTAAAAAGGATGCAACACGAGGACAACTTTGAATATTTTTTATAATTCCAAGTAAAGATGCTAAATTTAATTAGCCATCCTTTCCTCAGATTTTAATGCATTCCGATCTAGTTAAATTTATTGTAGTAGACGACTAATCACCATAAATTTAAATAGGACCCACAATATGGATATAACTGAGTCCCTTCGTCAATTCAGTGTGGATGATGCATGGTAGGTAAGGTTGACAATTGAATGAGATTCTCCAGCCCTTTTCTGCCCTTCATTCCCTGCTGAAAGTAATCGAAAAGCATTGCAATGCCTAAAATACCCTCATCAGATAGGTTATTTTCAATGGTATGTGCAAAACTGAGATGAAAGCTACGTGTAGCATGTGCGCATAGCTAGTTGCATTGTGTAGTCATTCTCTGTATACTTTCCATGAGCAGCTAGCTATATATAAATATAAATATGGATAATTCCATCGCACTCAAAAACGATTTTTCAGTAACCATATACCAAAAATTAATTTTGAATACTTTATAAAAAAATGCTTATGAAACCTTGATTTATGCCTTAATTTGTTTGTGACCATTGATCGTAATATTAATACACAAAAGGCTACCTAATACACGGGCTTCTGCCACTTTGCACTTGTCATATTTTCAATAAACGAAAAAAGGAAATACGAAAGTATATATATATATATACAGAGAGAGAGAGAGAGAGAGAGAGAGAGAGAAGAGAACCTTGGCACTGATTGAGTAGAGGACCAGTGGGTCCAAGGTGGTGACATTGAGATGAAGGATAGAGAGGTAAAGGGTGTGAAAACCAGCAACCATTCTCGAGAGCTGTCTCACTCTTCTTTGCGAGAGAATTCGAATATTTGCATGGGTTTCAATCATAGTGACCTGGATGTCCGCCATGGCTGCTTTGCTCTTCGATGTATACTTGCTAGGGTTTTGAGAGGAAATGTACTGAGGGTAAACAAAAAATTGTGAAAATGGAGGTGCCAAGACGGCGGCGGCGGCTTCATTGAGTGTTCTTCCACCTTGTAGAAGTAGAAACTTCTGAGCTTCAAGGGACTGTAGGTGGTGCTCAAGCTCCTTCACATATTCTATAGCACCACCTACTGTAGAGGCCTGGTCACCCTATACAACAAAATCTTGTAATTAGATAAGGGTCTTTCTGTACACTTTTTTCTTCTATATGAAAAATTGTTTCAAACACGTAATTTAGATTCACGAATTAAAATAAAACCTTGCACGTAATCATCTTTAGTGTTAAGAATAAAATGATAATAATGCAAGAATTATTATACTAATAAGGATAAATGCAAGAGGATTAAAAGATTAAACCTCAAGTTTAGTATTAAATGATAATGTGGAGTGGCATGAAACTCATCCCATTCCACTGATCATATTCTAATGCACAGCCTATTCTCACAGCCAAATATGAAATAAACCAGGATTTAGTTTGACCATAAGCAACCATTCTGATCAATTTGACTATGACAATAAAAGTACTTTCACTAATCTATTTATTATTACAATTAGAAAATTGAATCTTTAATTTATAAAAATACAACGGTCAAAATTGATTTAATTTTTTTAACATTAACCAAATGGTACAAAATTCACTCAAATTTCTTTTTCAGCTCAAAAAAAATCATCTTTTATGCACAACTGCTAACATCAAATAACTCAGCTAATATACTTTCAATTTTAGACAACGGTACTTATTTACACCTACTTATCTCTTATTTTTATTATTTTATTTTAATTTATATTACTTAATTAAAAGAAGAAAAAATATTATTTAAATATAAATATTGTACCATGAATACTTATTTTTTTTATTTACAAAATGTCTTAAGTCACAGGGTTGCTGGTGTATAAATATTACTGGAGTAATTTTACACTACACTGAATAAAAAAAGAGAAAACGTGTTCTTTCCTACTGTTTGGTCGACTGAAGAGTCACATAGTCAAAAGCAACAGAACATTATGATTATAATGCATAGCTTAAGCCTTAAACAGACAATGCAGCTTGAGGTGCACTGAGAACTGAGAACTGAGAACAACTACGTTTTCTTCATTAGAAGAGACACCCAGGCCCCAAAAAAACAATGGGTAATGACCAACGCTTTGTATACTCTCTCTCCCTCCTCCCCAAAATAATTGCATATACAATACATATATAGATATATACACACCCATATCCATACATGACATGCACACACACACACACAAAATGTATTTAAATTGGAGAAAAACGGACCCTTGGGACATAAGATTCAGGCATGAGAGAGCGTAATACAGCAAGATGTTCATTCATCTGCTTCCTGCGATTTCGCTCCACTGTAATGTGTGTCATCCTTTGGGTCTCAGCTTCCTCCTTGTTCTTGCAAGCTCTTGGCCTTCTCTTCCTCTTCTTCCTCCCTTGCACCGCCAAACTCCGTCTCCTTTCGGTGGTTTCCAATCCAACAGAACCACACCCTTGGGTGTTTGAAGAACAGCCATTTGAGCCACAACCTAATTCTTGAGGTTTCAGACCATTGTGCAGCAGATAATTAGTCTCTGAAGAGTTATTGCAGCTATATGGGTTCGCCGAGATTGTGTCATAAATGATGAAGTTCAGGAGTTCATTGGAAGAAAGTGTTTCCAACGCCATTTCTCTGCATAATATATGGAAAATTAGAGTGACCAAACCTAATATCCCAGTGCTTGCACTTGGAGAGAGAGAGAGAGAGCAGCGGGCAGCCCGTTTCTTTTTCTCTCACTCTTTGAAGCAGAAAAGCACAACACCTTTTCTGTCCTCTGACGTTCACCAAGTGCTCAATTCTTACCCTTAACTAGCCTTTATATTGACCCTCTAACCCTCTAGAATCTAGATTAGATCTCTCTCTCTCTCTCTCTGAGCTCTTCTTTTGTTTCCCTTCCCAATTTTCGTAGATGCTGTCAAAACACACTGCCATAGTGTCTGCAACGAAGAGGTGTGGGGGACCCAAATACGTAAAGAAATATGCATAAAAACAACAGAACAAGCTGTGCAAAAGCTACTCTTCACGTTCAACTTTTTGTGTTTTGGGCACTGTGAAAAAGGACTGGCTTACCGCTCTCCTACCTTCAATACTAGATGCTTATGGTACCTTCTTGTAATGCATCTCTAGATGAATTCTCACATCAAGATTTTTGTAGTGCCCAAGTTTCAAATGTTTTATCATTCGGTTGGGTGCCATTCATTTTGTTTATGGATCAAAGACTATGAATTATTGCTGGTGGATGAGGATTGAGGAATGATGTATATATGGTGAATATCAAGTTGGATTGTGTCGCATCTAATTTTGGATTTGTGTCATTTTCAAATTCGTATCGTGTCAAGTTAATTTATCTTAATATACAAAATTATCACCTATAGAGGGAGAACACTTCCACAGTTAACTCAATCATTTTCAAATATAAGAACTATATAATAATATTTTCTAGATCTAATTTGAAACCTAATTAATGAATAGATCTAATAAATTGTGCTTATCGAATTAACAGTGATGCTATTGAATATAACTTATTATCAATTCAATTACCACAACTGTAAGTTTTGGTAATATTTTTTTTGGTCTCTATTTTCAATTTTTACTAAGGAGAGGGCGGTAAAGTTTGAACCCACAACATAACGGTCCAACAGCAGGCTACGGTGGCTATTAGGCCAACCGCTAATCTTCAGTTTTGGTATTGAATACAGGCCAATTGTCACAGAGATTTAGTGTTCAACTTAGGTCCTCGAATTGAGTACAAAATAACATTGTCTTCAAGAAAAATGCCCGCCTGTATTGAGGGTGAAGGCAATTGGATGTTTTCCTTTGGTTTTTATTGTCGTTTGTAGCAGAAAAATGTGGGAAGGAAAGACCTTATCTGGGTCTTAGCCATTCACAATTAATGAGCATTCCAGAGACTTCTTTGTGCCATATAGAAAAATCCATGTCTCATGATGAAGATTGTTTTGGGAATTATTAATCACTGGTCCCATATGTTAAATTATGTGCTGTACTAGGATAACTTCCTTGTGAACCAAAGTAGCCCTAGCTTGCATCCAACCCCTTATGCATCTGTTGTTGAATTTGATCTTCATCGATACATATTGACAGGGTAAATGATTGTTATCATTAATCTTTAGGACCAAAATTTTTAAAAAAAAACAAAAGAAGAAGAAGATTTACGGTGTAAACAATCTTACTCTTATTTTAATCAGTCTAGATTATGCTTGGGCTCGATTTGATGTTATCCCCAAATATAGGTGATACATATATAGTAACCACATTTCTATGAGAGAGAGGCAATAAGGAAAAATTCATCATGGATGAAGCAAGTAACCATTGGGGGGCAATATATCATTACTATTAATTAAGGGAGGGGCGAGTTTTGGTGCCTATTCATAAAATGATTGTAATATCCTTGTATAGATTGTCGTAAAGTCTTCTCATAGCATATCACTATAACTCTTTATTTCTTTATAAATGAACCACTTACAATCACCTATAATTTTTTTTGACCACATTTAACCAACTAAATATCCTATCTAATTATATTTAACCAACTAAATATCCTATCTAATTACATTTAACCAACTAAATATCCTATCTAATTATATTTAACCATCTAATGTCAATCTCTTCTTACTTCCACATTTTTCTACTTCTGGCAATTTATGCACAATTCCGTGTAAGTATGACTTCTAGTATATATATATATGTAAAAAAATATATATGTGTATGTAAGTATACATATTCTTGAGAAACAAAATGAGAGGGGGAAACAAACTAGAAGAACTGTAGTGTTGCCTGGTGAAGGGGATGGATCAGAGGACCTTGAACCGTGGTCCAATCTGTCAGAGACTACTCTGCAGAGGAATCCATGTGACTAGCTACCGGCTTCCTCTATACAAGTACATATTTCCAAACCCTTGCCAATCATCCACATTCATGTCTCCACTCTACAGTTCAAAAAAAAAAAAAAGTCCCCACTCTATTTCTTAGATTTTCTATTGCTTTGTCTCCAACAACCTCAACCCGGAACCAAACCACACCCCCCCCCCCCCCCCCC